CCCTACAGTTTTATTTTCTTCCTTTTATCATTCAGTATCTCAGGAAGAATTCATATGCCAATGCAGGTATACCTTTAAACAGGGCATTATTACTGCCTTCTTTAAATATTGTTACTTTGCTAACTGTTTTCAAAGTACCCAGCTGTTGTATTTTCTGGGGGATGCATAGTCCTGCAGAAGAATTAGTTCTAAATATGGACAGTGCTGCTGGAATATAACATCCCACAACACTCTTAATGATTTGTAGATTTATGTAATTAACATCTCTGATATTCCCCCAATTTTTGTCATAACTGATAATCTTTGTTTTCTTTTTCACTTGAATGCTTTCGATAAATGGCAAAGAACAACTCAAGACAAAAAAATTGATTTTTTTTCTATTGTAAACATCTTCAAGCATGCAGTCTTGTGAACAGACTCAGCTAAAACACCACAATGAAATGTAGTAAATTTTCACCACTAGTTAATCACATAAGGAAAAAAATTAACAATGAGTTTATCAGCTATTAAGTAATCTTTAAAGAACTGTGATATGATAAACTTTTAATAAAAAAGGGTTTATATTACTCTGCAAAGAAAGAACATCTAAAGTTCAAAGGAAGTTCAGTAACATTCCTTTACCTATTTAACGATATAGGTTATAAGCATTACTTTTAAGAAAAACTATTTAATTCTTAATTTTAAAAATGTTATTAACTATATTCATCATTATTTTTAATTTAAATTTGAGATGACACTGAGTATGATGTAAAAGGTTTCTTTCTTGAGAATTAAGTAACCCAAGCCCTAAAAAGGGCTAGAAATAGATAACACACAGAATAAAAAAGTTTCAGAGGCCATTTATTTAGCATTTTATAAAACAATTTAAATATATGACCCACGTTATTTTTGAAGCCATGCACTCTTGTCAATTGTTGAATGATACAAAACTGAAGCCAACAAAATAAGCATAACTCTTAATCATGAAGACCTTTATCATTAAGAATGTTCGGGAAGAAACAAATCTGAAACAGCAGAAAAATAAACTGCTTATTTTCTCTTTTTATATAGCTCCCCTGTAAGGATTACAAGACAAAAATGGCTTATTCACAAACTTATTAGTGACTTTTATCTTATTATGTACATTACATACATTGTGTACAAAACATGTATTATATATATTTTATAGATGAGCAAAGAATTTCACTTAATGATTTGTAAATACAGTCTATTATGAAACCATAATAATTCATAGTATTGCAGACATGAATAATAGTATCTTATGAAACAAAAATATGCAGATCAGCATTTTATCAGAGGCCATTCAAATAGTTTTCTTGAGACAGACAGCTCAATGAACATGAAGGACAACCTTACAATGGATTCAAGTCCCCTTACTTCTATTCTTGATAGAGTAGGTCATTACTCTTCTCCAGAAGTGCCTAGTCTAAACAGTTTGGTTTTAACAGCTACTAATATTTAAAAATGTTGTGTCTTCGTTTTGGAGACAGTCTTGTTTAATATCTTTACTGATGATCTAGATGAGGGGATCGAGTGCTCCCTCAGTAAGTTTGCAGATGACACCAAGTTGGGTGGGAGTGTTGATCTGCTGGAGGGTAGGAGGGCTCTGCAGAGGGATCTGGACAGGCTGGATCGATGAGCAGAGGTCAACTGTATGAGGTTTAATAAGGCCAAGTGCCGGGTCCTGCACTTGGGTCACAACAACCCCATGTACCGCTACAGGCTTGGGGAGGAGTGACTGGAGAGCTGCCCGGTGGAAAAGGACCTGGGGGTGCTGCTTGACCGCCCGCTCAATATGAGCCGGCAGTGTGCCCAGGTGGCCAAGAAGGCCAACAGCGTCCTGGCCTGTATCAGAAATAGTGTGGCCAGCAGGAGTAGGGAAGTGATCGTGCCCCTGTACTCGGCACTGGTGAGGCCGCACCTCGAATCCTGTGTTCAGTTTTGGGCCTCTCACTACAAGAAGGACGTTGAGGTGCTCGAGGGTGTCCAGAGAAGGGCAGCGAAGCTGGTGAGGGGTCTGGAGCACAAGTCTTATGAGGAACGACTGAGGGAACTGGGGTTGTTTAGTCTGGAGAAGAGGAGGCTGAGGGGAGACCTTATCGCTCTCTACAACTACCTGAAAGGGTGTTGTGGCAAGGTGGGCGTTGGTCTCTTCTACCAAGTAGCTAGCGGTAGAACAAGAGGAAATGGCCTCAAGCTGAGCCAGGGGAGGTTTAGACTAGATATCAGGAAAAATTTCTTTATGGATAGAGTGGTCAAACATTGGAACAGGCTGCCCAGGGAAGTGGTGGAGTCACCACCACTGGAAGTGTTCAAAAAACGTGTAGATGTGGCACTTCAGGACATGGTTTAGTGGGCATGGTGGTGTTGCATTAATGGTTGGACTTGATGATCTTAAAAGTCTTTTCCAACCTTAATGATTCCGTAACTCTGTGATTCTGTGATTTCAGTATCTAACTATAATTATGCCAAGCAAGATTTAAATACTTTACATCTATGTCCCACTAGATGTACAGTTTTGGATAACGCTTAAGTTTGTTTCCCCTTAATGCTGTACTGTAGTTTCTGTTAATTTCTGTTCCCTTCCTAGCTGTTGGTTGTATTTCCTTGGAAAATGCAGCGTGATGAGCTTTGCTAATGTTTATAATTAAAAAGAAAAAAAACGTTCTCTGTATCTTAACAGAAGAAGGAAAATATACCTTTTTAGAGTTTCCTCATAGTTTACATGAATGACTTTCATCTTTTCACTTTTCAACACATTTGAAGTCCCGTATGGGTACTATCTTCATAATTATGTAGTCTTATAACACAACTGCTGTGTATTTCTAAATACCTTTGCTGGTTTGGTCAAGATTTCTTTAAAGAACAAGATTTGATTTCTTTTTTTCTGTCTATTTACTAAAATATCCACCAAGATTTAATTTTTTCAAATAATTACAAACTACTGTTTTAAATACAAGTCTTCCAGTACTTCTCAGGTAATTTTAACTTACTTAATTCCTCAAAAGAATCTTTAAACTTAAAAAAGCTATACAGTAATTAAACTCAATGACCCTTCTTATTTACAGCTTCTGTGAAGTGTGTTTATCATATGAGTTTGGTGAGGAAATCATTCAAATATTATTAGATAATTAAATTTCCCAATTAATACCAGTAATAATGACACCAAGATGACTTTGGATCTCAGTAGTTTGTTAGCAAACTTTATCTACTGTATAAAAACAAATGCAATATTCCCATAAACAATAGAAATAAAAACCACCAAGACACAGAATTTTTCATGCATAAATGTTTATGTGTGTATGTACCTATATACACACTCTTAAAAGCATTTCATAACACTTACTAAAAAAGTAGTACACTATTTATTAAAGTATAAGGAAGATGGAAAAAAAACTTTTGTGGAATATTTTCCAACTATAAAAGAATTTTTCATTTTTGTTGTTTCACAGAGATATTAGAAAAATCTGTCCAAACATAAACTCTGTACAATATTTTCAATATCTTCTACTTTTTGTTTGCCAGAAAGGTTGAAGGTCTGTTCTGTGCACAGTTTAGAGATATAATGACACAACCTTATTTTCCTTACAGAAACTTTTTCAAAAAATAAATACCATTATCTTTTGAGTTAGCGATTATGTTCATACCAAGAAGGTACTTTATGAAAGGAATTTTGATTTCTTTTGTTGAGGAAATAATCTTGTTCACTGTGTTACAATTAATGCTTTTACAAGTAAATGTGTCAGTTAACATTTTTAAACACATGAACAAGCCAAATAACCAGTGTTATTCTATACAGCTAAAAATCATGAGAGTTGTGATACTACAGCAGGTATAATATATTTGCAGTGCACCCAGCAGAATACACTTTTCCAGGTTCCATACTTCTTCAGAATAGAGAATCATAAAATAGTTTGGGTTGGAAGGGACCTTTTAAGGACATCGAGTGCAAACCCCCTGCAAGGAGCAGGGTCATCTTCAACTAGACCAGGTTGCTCAGAGCCCCGTCCAACCTGACCTTGAATGTTGCCAGGGATGGGGCATCTACCACCTCTCCGGGCAGACTGCCAGTGTTTCACCACCCTCATTGGGAAAAATTTATTCCTTATGTCTAGACTAAAACTGCCCTCTTTTAGTTTAAAACCATTAGCCCTTGTCCTGTCACTAGAGGCCCTGCTAAAAAGTCTGTCCCCATCTTTCTTAGAAGCCCCCCATAAGTACCCGAAGGCTGCAAGAAGATGTCTCCAGACCCTTCTCTTCTCCAGTCTGAACAGCCCCAACTCTCTCAGCCTTTATTCATAGGAGATGTGCTCCACCCCTCTGAACATTTTTGAGGCCCTCCCTGGACCTGCTCCAACAGGTCCATGTCTTTCCTGTGCTGAGGGCTCCAGAGCTGGACGCAGGACTCCAGGTCGGGTCTCACCAGAGCAGAGTAGAGTAGCAGAATCACCTCCCTCAACCTGCTGGCCACGCTGCTTTGGGTGCAGCCCAGGATATGTTTGGCCTTCTGGGTTGTGACCACACATTGCCAGCACATGCCCAGCTTTTCATCTACCAGTACCCCCAAGTCCTCTCAGCAGAGCTGCTCTCAATCCTTTCAGCCCCCAGCCTGTATTGATATTGGGGGTTGCCCCAACCCAGGTGCAGGACCCTGCACATGGCTTTGTTGAACCTCATGAGGTTCACACAGGCCCACTTCTCAAACTTGTCCAGGTCCCTTTGGATGGCATCCCCTCTCTCAGGTGTGTCAATTTAATGAGGACAGAAGCAAGGCAGAAGCTCAAGGTTGCTCTTTGGAGTCTCTATAAATATAAACCCAGGCAAATGTTATGTTTCCAGACTATGCCTTCAGCAGTGCTGAATCCACCAGCTGTGAATAGAAGTGAGAGGCCCTGGCAGAGCTGTAGTGCTTACAGCTGAACCGTCCACCTTCCTCTTTCCACTTTGTGGGCCTCACTCTGCTTTCTAGAGGGCTGCTTCCCTACTAATCACACTCCGTTGCTCATGTGAGAGAGAGAATTTTCCTTCTCTCCAGACTGTTACACACGTCCTGAAAATGAAATTGTTGCCAACAGACTGAAGAACCAGAAGCTGTCTCAGCCTCCGGTTGCAGCTCCAGGCTGCTCTGTGTAGAGTTCAAACACATGCCTGTGTCCATACTTTCAAAAGGCCCTTGAACAGTTGAAAAGGTTCGTAGAAGAACAACAAAAATTGTTCAAAGACTTAAGAGCTCAATGTGTTTGATTCCTCTCAAAGGAGAATGCAAAGCCATTTGGTTGCATTGTAACATGTATTACAGTGATCTTCAACATTGCAATTAAAAGAAAAAAAATAATAGAAATAATTCTATTAATAGAAACAGAAATAAGAATAGAAATAAGAGTAAGCTGGAAGACTTCAAATTAGATCTGAAACTCTTTATATAGTACAGATGATTAATTATAGAAAGAACAAGCTGAATATGGAAGTTGGTTTGATTCAAACAATTTTAAGACTTTTTTTTTTTTCCAAAACTAAATGTCATTGAACTTGACCTGTCCATGTGCAATGTTTGAGTTTGATAAAAAGAGGACTTCTGAAATAAACATTTTGTTAGTCAAGAGTTTTCTCAATGGTGTCTGATCACAACATATCTGATTTTAGATATTTAGGGTTCCTTCTTATTGTCCTTAATCAGAACTGCACACAAGTATTTGAGTGTTGAATTCAGAGCCCTTAATCCTTCTACCTAGTGACAAAACTCCAAGGAGGGATGAAAGTCATAACATGGACAGCAAGTGACCTCTTCTAAATATACAGTAAAGTACATCATCGGTGAGATGGCAAGAGTGACTGTTGCAGGCTACCTTCATTCAGATCTATCAGCTAATTAATTTCCTGCTAATTTCATTTTGCTTTTGCTTTCAATGTAATTCTTTTAATCTGCTCATCATTTCCTTCCTACTCTGTTTGATTCAAGAAAAACAGTAATAACCGAATACCTACTGGGAAGAAATGACAAAATGGAAATTCTAGGAGTTCTGGACACATTCATGACTAATTGATGGAAAATGTACTGATTGTAAAGTACTCAGTTCATTTCTGTACTTATTTTTAATGGAGCAGGAAAGTTGAAGGGAAGTTTTGCATTTTGTCTAGGTATATTACTTTCCATTTTAAAGGGAAATTAATTAATAGCAACTTGATTCTAAATCCATGTGCAATCAAAGTCCTTTGGAACACAGGCTTGGAATATAAGGATATAAGGAGAAAAGAAAAGCTGAAAAACCTTCCTAATCTAATACTCGTAATGGTTTTTTTTAAATTATTATTTATATCTTCTTTGAAATTTTAGCTGTCAAGCTAACAAGTTTAGAAGACATTGAATATTATTTAATGCACTGCAAAAACTGGCTGTACCAGTCACAATGCGATACCTTCTGTGATGATAAAACAAGGCAGTTACATTAAGCATGTCATTCACTGAATTCCAAAAATGGAATAGCTGCCTATTACTAAAAGTGACACAAACTACAATGGTGAACTGAAGTAAACAATAAAAATCCTGTAATGACTGTATCATGTTTTACAGACAACACAGCTGGCATTGAAACCAGGAGAAATGGTTACAGCAGAAGGCAGCAAGAGCTGTACTTTCTTCCAGTAATAATAGAAGATAGCAGTTATCCTGTCCAAAGCAGCACAAACACAATGACTATCCGTGTTTGCAGATGTGATTCTGATGGTACCATCCTGTCCTGCAATGTGGAAGCAATCTTCTTACCAGTAGGCCTCAGCACAGGAGCGCTGATTGCAATCTTGTTGTGTATTGTTATACTTCTAGGTTAGTTTTCATGAAATCATGTGTAGTGCATTACTCTGATTATTGACCTGTGAATTAATTTATGTGGTTACTAGTTTTATTTATTGCTTAACAAAAGCCATTGAAAATTTGTGTCGGTTTATGAGAACTTTTATGCTTCTACATTTCTAGGAAAGGATCCCAAAGCACTGACCATGTTCGTGAATCTGTTAACACCTACAGTTTTCTTATTACATGAAAAGAACCAACTTTCAGTGGTATCCAAACCATATTTTTTTTCTCTGAAACAGTTTGGTTTAAATAAGTTTCTTGAAGAATTAGTATTTTTAGATTATTACTAAGGTAGACAAGTCCTACTGACAGTAACAACAGTAAGGACTTAGTAAGGGCCTTCTTTTAATTCTTTTTACCAACTTGAGCAAAAGGAGAACAAAGAAATGAGGGTGGAGAAAATAATGGTAAAGTAGACTTTGACAGTCTAGATCTATGTAAAACTTTACAGAAACATTTTAATTTCAGGCAGGTGTGGATTCCATAAGATGTCATTGTCATTTGATCTACATTATATTTAAATATTGCATTACTTACAGCATGCCCAAAGCAGTCAATACCATGTGCATCCTACTTACAACATAGACTTAATGAACTCATAATGAAATAAAACTAACTTTGTAGCTTACACAAGAACAATATGCGCTGCAGAAAGCAGACTGATTCTTACAGATGTTAGCCTATGCTTTTTCTTGATATTAGTGGGCTTCCTAGATCTCATGCTACTCCTTATGTAGGTCTAATGAATAGGTAAAAATTACTGCAGACACAGAATATAACATATAGATACCTCTTTGCATTTGGATATTATAATAATTTACTATTTGAGTAAATTACTATAGGCTCACAGTTACATAAATAGCTTCTGAGTAGCAGTGGGTAAAAGCCAAAATTTCTGTTCAGTGTAAAAATTCTATGCTGTGAGAAAAATGTTGTTTCAAATCAGAATGAGAATGGCAAATGGTCATACTTCCCATGAAATAGGAGTTAATAACAAATACACCCATTCTGAAGAATTTAAAAAACAAAACAAAAGAAAACAAAACCAAATCTGTCAGTTTTTTGGAAGGAAGAAGAATGTTGTCTCCTTTACCACAATTCCTTGGGACTACTTTTTTACTTTTAAGGCTTTCCTAGATAAAAGCAGCCAGGGGGGAACAAATTCCATTACTGAAAAAAGCTTTAACTTATTTTCATGTGAAGAGATAAGTCAATTAGAGCTCTGTCTTAAGGCAGCACTCCCAGGTATCTAACCTCTCTCTTACAGAGCAAAGTGCCTAGAAGCCCTAAACACATCGCTGTAGCAAAGTTTTTGAAGTCGCCACCTTTGTGCCCAGTAATCTGGACAATGTGAACTATGCTTGGTGCTCTTTGTACGGAGATCATTTACAATGGCACGGGAAGCGGGAATACCTGAAGTCTGAATTTCCCCAGAATTTTCTAGGTGATCATGGAGGCCTTCAACAGAACTGTGTTCATGTTTCCCTAATGGTTTCTTGAAATAAACACATTTTTTATTTAAAAACCCCAGCATATTCAATCAAAAATAACAATGGCAGAGAAATCCTTACCAGATCTGCTGCTGATTGATTCTCTTCATATACAAAACTAATGAAGATATTTTAATTCCTGCTTTGTACAGAACGCCAGACTGAATTACTGAGATTATGTTTGGAAGAGAGGTTTTGCTCTTTTGACAAGTCCCTTCATTCCAATCAGCCTGGAAATATTACCCATAAAAACTATTGTTAAGTAATGAGATCTCCAGTACTGTGTGTAACCTGAGAATGGCATTTATGTTATATCCAAAATTTCTCCTTACTATTCCATTGATCAATTTAAAAACTGGTTTTGGATTTTCATTTCTTACTGTGAACCTAGCCTGACACAGGGTCATTAAAATCATAGTTGAAGTCATTTTTGTCAAATTCATTTCTACGCAAAAGTCAGTCAACATATTACCAGATTATAATCATTGCAGCTCCTGTATTCATTATTGAGTGACTTCAACAACAGCACTTTAAAAACTGGCATTTCTACCAAAACCAGTTAGGGAATTAAAAATAACAAAAAGATTAGTTTACTACAAGCAGATTTTGTATTCAAAGAAATATATCTCCAAAGACAAAATTTTGGAAAAAAACCCACCACAAGCTGATTGCTATTGAGTTGCCATTTGGAATAAACCTAATCTGTAACATTTTATATTACATAGAATCACAAAGTCACATTTGGAACGCACCTCTGAAGATCATCTGGTGCAACCTCCCTGCTTACAGCAGGGACAAATCCAGTTGGGTCTTGAAAATCTCCAAGGTTGGACACACCACAAATTTTCTGGCCAACATGATCCAATGCTTGACCATTCTGACAGTAAAGAAGCTTTTTTCTTACTTTTTAGTTGAATTGTCTGCATTTCAGTTAGTGCCCATTGCCTCTTGTCCTGTCACTAGGCACTTCTAAGAAAAGTCTGGCTCCATCTTCTTTACTTCCATCCATCAGGTATTTCTACACATTTGTAAGATCCTCATGAGACTTCTCCAGGCTAAACAGTCCCATCTCTTTCAACTTCTCCTCATATGGCATATGTTCCAGCCCCTTAATCATATTTGTAGCTCTGCACTGAACTCACTCCAGGAAGGCCATGCCTGTCTTGTACCGAAGAGGCCAGAACTCCAAGTGTGTCTGACCAGGACTGAACAGAAGTGAATAATAATCTCCCTAGACCTGCTGACAATGCTCTTCCTAATGCAGCCTCAAATGCTCTTGGCCTTCTTTCCCACAAAGGCACATTGCTGGCTCATGGTGAACTGTTGTCCACCAGGACCCTAGGTCCTTTGCTATCAAACTGCTTTCTGGCCAGTCAGACAACAGCATCTACAGCATGCGGTTATTCTTCTCCATGTGCAGGACTTGGCATTTCCCTTTGTTGGACTTCATGGGAGTCCCATTGGCCCATTCCCGCAGCCTGGTAAGGACCCTTTGAATGGTGGTACAACCCTTGTTTTGTATCACCTGCAAACTTGCTGAGGGCGCACTCAATCCCATGATCCAGGTAATTTATGAAGATGTTAAACAAAACTGGTCCCAATATCAACCCCTGGGGTACATCATTAGTGACTGGCCCCCATCTGGTCTTTGGGATGTTGATCACAACCCTTACAGCCTGGCAGTTTGTCCAGCTTTCCAATCCACCTCACCATCTACTTTTCCAGTCCATACTTTCTCAGTTTTTCTGAGAAGGTTGTTGTGGGAGACAGCATCAAAAGCTTTCCTAAGGTTAGGATAAAAATAATGCACTTTTCTCCCTTCAAGCACCAGTCACCTCATTGTAGACGGCTATCAGGTGAGTTAAGCACAATTTCACCTTCGTAAATCCATGCAGACTACTCCTGATACTCCTCCTGTTCTTGATAGCTTTGAAAAAGTTTTCCAGAATTATTTACTCCATCACTTTCCTCATGATCAATGTGAGGCTGATTGGCCTGTAGTTCCCTAGCTCATCCTTCTTGCCTTTCTTGAAGATAGTAATCATACTTGCTCCAGTCCTCAGAAACTTGTCCCAGGCCCATGACCTCTCAAAAGTTATCACAAATGGCCTCACAATGACATCAGTCATCTCCCTCACCACTCATGCATGCATCCCATCTGGTCCTATGTCCTTGTGTGTGTCCAGTTTGTTTAACTGTTCCTTAACCTGACCCTCTTCCACCAAAGATAAGTCTTTCTTCTTCCAGAGTTTTCCTCTGGTCTCAGGGACCTGGGATTGCTGAAGGACAACCTTACCAATAAAGACAAAGAAGCCATTAAGTAGGTTGACCTTTTCTGTGTCCTTTGTCAAAAGGTCCCCTGCCCCATTCAGCAGTGGGCCCACATTTTTCTTTTGCTGCTGTCATACTTGTACAAGTCCTTCTTGTTGCCATTCATGTCCCTCACAAAATTCAACAGCAAACGGGCTTTGACTTTCCTGACCGCATCCCTGCATGTTCAGACAGTCACCGTATATTCCTCCTGGCTCATCTGTCTCTGTTTTCACCTCTTATATGCCTCTTTTTTTATCTCTGAGTTTAGTTAGGAGCTCCTTATTCATCCATGCAAGCCTCCTGCTGCCTTTGATTTCCTGCTCATCAGGATGGACCACTGTTGACCTTGGAGGAAGTGCTACTTGAAAATCAACCAGCTGTCCTGGACCCCTTTTCACTCCAGAACCATATCACATGGGATTTTTTAAAGCAGATCCCTGAAGAGGTCAAAGTATGCTGTATAAGAAGCTGAAGTAGGATGACTTTTTTCTCCATTTCAACGATTCCAGATTATTTTTTTTCTCATTAATACTGTGGGTTTTTTTCTCTACAATGTGGAAATTTGGGAATTTTTCTCTATTATGTTATGGAAGATTTTTTTTTTTTTAAATCTCATCTCTCTGTCTCTCAGAACTAAAAAGCTGAAGTCCTGTCTAATTCTATTTGTTTGCAAAGCAGGCCGGTAGGAAAATTAATTGTTACTTCCTTCAGCAGCACATCAAGCACTAAGGAGTTAGACTAATACATTGAACAGCAAATGACTTTTCATTGGCTAGAACACTGCTGTTTTTAAAAGAATAGTAGAAGCATATCTCCTAAGGTAAAAAGTCCCTTTGATTGCTTGCACCTTTCAAAGATATAATGATATATCATCAGAGTACCAAATTATTTCTGTGCATGTCTTAACTCCAGTATTTTTCTCGTTACAGTCATTGTAGTACTGTATGTAGCACTACGGAGGCAGAAGAAAAAGGACACCCTGATGACCTCTAAAGAAGACATCAGAGATAATGTTATCCATTATGATGATGAAGGAGGTGGAGAAGAGGACACCCAGGCATTTGACATAGGTGCTCTGAGGAATCCTAAAGTGATTGAAGATAATAAAATACGCAGGGACATAAAACCAGACACCTTGCGTTTTCCACGTCAAAGACCACCAGTGGAAGATAACACAGACATAAGAGATTTCATTAATCAAAGGCTGCAGGAAAATGATGTAGATCCAGCTGCACCCCCTTATGACTCCTTGGCAACCTATGCTTATGAAGGAAATGGATCTGTTGCGGAGTCTCTCAGCTCTATAGACTCCCTTACTACAGAGGCAGACCAGGATTATGATTATCTGAGTGACTGGGGACCTCGCTTTAAGATCTTGGCAGACATGTTTGGAGAAGAAGAAAGTTATAACCCTGACAAAGTCACTTAAGTACAACTACAAGAGTGAAATAAAAAGAAAAGTAAACCAACAACAAATATAAAAGATAAACCTAAGCTTTATAATAGGACAGGATTCCTTTGATTATAAAGGACAGCAACTGGTTCCAGCAAGTTACTACATTTATCATACTGTCAGTTTTGGTTTGATCTGCGAAGGAAAGATAAATCCTGTAATATACACAGTTTTTTGTTGTTCTTACTTTGTTACTCTGGAATTACACTGAGACAAGCTCAGGCCTACAAGGTACAGTTTACTGACCTGACTAAGAAAGAAGATAGCTTTCTGGCATCACGGTGGAAGAGTGGTAGCTTTTTCGTAATTCCACTAAAGTGCCTATTGAAACTTTTATCATTTAAGTGGTAAAGAGTCTGCTGTGATGGTGTTACAAAACTTAATGGTAAATTGGACAAAACCTTTAAGACAAGAAGCAATAGCAACATGCTGACTTCTTTTAGAAGAAAAATGGAGATCACTTCCTGGAGTATATCTAATGACTAAAACTAAAGGGGGGGTGTGTGTGTACATTGTGTTTTGGGGTTATGTTTGTTTTTTCAAAAGAAGAAAACAGTATGTCAAGACGTCATATTTCTTCTTCCAAAATTTCACTGAAAATTTAAGTTTAAAATGCTATTACCCACTCTGAAGATGTAAAGCCCAAATTAAAAAGGAAACGATCTTAACATACATCAATGAATATTTAAAATGTTCATGCAAATATTACATTTTCCCAAAATAATAAAAAGATGAAAGCAGCTACTCCTTTATGTGAACGAAATTTCCCTTGGCTCCCCCTCTTCTTTTAAAATGAGACTATTACTAGAACGTAAAATGGAGAGGGTTTTTAAAGAGTATTATTGTATTTTTAGTACCCAGACACTTTTTTCCGCTTGTAAGTATCACTAAAAAGTATATGCAAAGAACTCCACATCACTTTTCTTTGCAATTAGATTGTTATTCTGTAGGTACTATAGGCATACATATTATAGAGATAGTTATTTTTCAACTGACCATCTGCTACTGTTCAGTATATCACTGTATTTCACTGTCAGATCCACATCAAATCTTTTAGAAAGTCTTCTGAGGATGGAAACCTTATTAATTTTGTTCTTGCCAAAATATTAACAGAGGCAGAATAAAAATATAAAACAACGTGTTTGTCCACACAAATGTTTATGTACATACCCATGCATAAACATAGTTGTGCAGGTAACGGAAGTACAGATATGTGCAAGGCATTCTGCTATAGAAGATGTCTTGTGAAACTATTTCATATGACTTTTTCTGACGATCTAAGGCATAGACATTTTGCAAGACAATGGTTTATAACCCCTGAAGTGCATATATCCTTATATTCTCCTTCTAAAATCTCCGCAGTGCTATACTTGAGCTTCTTGAGCTCTACTCACGGTTAATGGCACTGGCAAGGTCAGCCCAAGTCTTTCATGAATCAGAAATCTTTTATTCACTTCAGATCTACAGCTTACTTTTTGTACCGCTGAAGAATTCATAACTAGCATCAGATATAGTTAGCTCACAAGTCTGATATTAACACACATAAAGTTCCCTATACTCTCTTGGGGAAATGTAAAGGTATTTTAAAGTTGTATAAATTAATCTCTCAATGAGACTTTATAAGGTGTATAGTTTAAATAAGTTTGGGATCATTCAGCACAACTGGACAGGGCTGCAATAAAAGCATGACTGGTATAGTTTCTACCAGCAGAGTGCTGAGGAAGAGACACAGTATATGGTAACAAGAAAAGTTTGTGGGGTTTTTTTTCATTATCACCAGAGGTATCCCACGTTGCCTGAAAGACAAACTGAGCCAACAAAGCTCTCTTCTCACATGACGGGGAAGCAGGTGGAGTGGCAGGGCCCATTTGCCAGCATAGCAATTTTTGTGTGGAAGGTGATGTTTTTAATTTTCATACATGTTGACAACATAGCAAAGGCAACTGGATACTGCAGAGTGGGCCCCAAACAGAGCTCTGAAAAAAAAAAAAAATTGCTACTAGTTACAACACAGGTTTAATTCATACAACAGTCACACTTTTGGAGGCATTTAGCAATACTTCCTCATGTAGCATATGAATAGCGCTGCTTCCTACCCTGCTGCCACAGCTAAAATAAGCATCTGACACTGCTCATTTACGGATGCGCAATCCTGTAGGCAAACTCTGCTCTTAGTAACTGTATTAGTCCTTTACATGTGTTTCACTAGTAAAGTCAACGTGAGAGCAGTGTTTGACTTTTTGACACCATGTGACATGCTTGTTACTGGGAAAGTTGTATTTGTAGTGGATACTGGGTGAACATTAGGTCTCTTGAATGGTTGACATTTGCCCTTAGCAGGACAGTCTGTATGGGAGCCTGACTTCCAAAATGGGTGGGCAGAAAATGTCGTTTTAAAGATGTTGCTTCACATAATCCATATTTGAGAGTGAGCTGTTGTATGTTAAATTAATATCAGATTGAATATCAAATGCATATTTTTAAGAGGTTTGTAACCGAGATGTTTCTATCGCATAATTAATAAACCTCCAGGAAAATTTTTTAAAAAATGGTATGTAATTACTAATGTAATTGTCCTATAAAATCATAATTAAAATCTTTTAAGACCTTTTTTTAAAGAGTGATCAAACAATTTTAACTTATCAGGGGTATAGAACAGCTCTATAGAACTAAGAAAAAGAATTGGTTTTCATTTATGCAAAACCTGGGATCCAGGAGATTTGTGTTTAATTTCACTCTCTTTCTAAAAGATGCTTGCCAGGTTTTTAACAACTTATTTTTTAAAAGGTAATTAGACAAATATGAAATTTACAATATTTAAAGTATATCAAGGCATTTCAGATGGCATGAAGTCAATGGGATTAACAAACCTCAGTGCATTTGTAAATCGAATCAGATAAATACTTCAGTTTTTAAGCACTATATCTTCAAAAAATCTCTACAAACCCTTGTACAATCAAGATGTCAAAGTGGATGTCTGTCTTTCTCTCGACTGTGGAAAGAGCCATAAACCTCAAATTCTATCAGAGTGACAGGAAGCTAAGATAATGCTTAAAAGGCACAGAAGGGGTAGAATTGAAAGAAATACTTTTGTTTAAATTTCCAAACATAAGATGCTGGTGCACAAGCATCTAGCATCATCTTAAATGTCTCAACAGTGTAAAATGCCTTCTGCACACGAAGGCATTGAGACACTTCACTGGCACAAACAAATCCACATTTTAAGTTAAATAGTTATGACAGGGACTAGTGGTGCTGAAATAAAAGTCTAAATGTAAAGCATTCAGCTAAGAAGGGAAGTATCTAAGGAAATCTGGCTGATAAGCTTGCATTGTGGATTAATAGAACTGAAGGTAGATTTATAACAGAACATTTCAAAGGAATTTCAGGGAAGAAGGAAAAAATCTTCCCTGCCCTCCCAAGAAAGCTGAAAATGACACTAAGGAAAGTTCAAACAACTTCTCTGTGGGATCAGAACACAAAAGATTTAATAACGCTACACACAAATCTGAAAATGCTGTTTTTCTTGAAACTCAGATTTGCAATATTGTCAGTGAGTCAACTAGCAAGAATTTGGAAAGCAATGACAGTTGATGATGTCTCTTGCACAAAGATATATTTGAATATTCTATATTTTCATGATTTTTACTTATTTTATAAATTTGCTTTCAATTTTGCTGTTCCAATAAAATCACAGTTACTGAGAATTTACTGTAGGTTGTGGAACAGAGTTGATTGTGGAGCAAAGAGCAATAAATGACTCAACAGATTATTGAAAATATTATCCTAGAAACTACCTTGAAAATACTTTTGCCTTAAGAATAACATGTCCATATCCACATAAACACAACTGATCCTTCACACTAACAAAAAATGTTGTTCTGCAGATGCTATATTAATTTTAGATTTACCTCCATTATCGTTATGAAAGAGTTCTTAAGACTGTGTTGCTATGTCAGTTAAATTAATACAGGAAGAAAATATAATAATCCATTGGGTTACAGGTATTTCATATGGCATTATTGATTGGATTTTACTTGTTGATATTTGGTTTGTAAATTCTTTGCAGTTACCTTATTAGTTTTATTATTACCATAAACATTCAAATCCTGTGTGTATAAAAATATTTTTGAGCTTTACAAACCTTCATGAAAACAAATAATGAAATGACCCCTAATAATAACCCTACTGAGGTGACATTTAAGTGTGAATGAAAATCTAAGTTAATATTACACCCTTTCACAACCTTCTCTTAATAGCAAATCTAGAATAACTTGATTCCTTTTCTCTTCTTATTTAAATCAAGAACCAGATAAGTTGTCAGAACATGAGCAACAGTTGTTATTTTGAGCAAAACTAAGCTAAGTTCCTATATGTTTGTTTATAATGTTCTATTTATTTAATTGACAGACTTCCTTTATTCAACTTTAGTTTGCAACTATAACCCCTGGATAATTCTTTTATATCTTACTTTCATTGCTGTGATCCCCATCAATATACTTTTGGGACTCAGTGCGATCTTATAAATGTGTAGAAATATCTGATGAATGGAAGTAAAGAAGATGGAGCCAGACTTTTCTTAGTGGTGCCCAGTGACAGGACAAGAGGCAATGGGCACTAATTGAAATGCAGACAATTCAATTAAAAAGTAAGAAAAAAGCTTCTTTACTGTCAGAATGGTCAAGCATTGGATCATGTTGGCCAGAGAATTTGTGGTGTATCCATCCTTGGAGATATTCAAGACCCAACCGGATCTGTCCCTGAGCAACTTGCTCTAACTGATCCTGTTGTAAGCAGAGAGGTTGGACTAGATGATCTCCAGAGGTATATTCCAACCTCAGCTATTCTGTGACTTACACTAAAACCATCCTGTGTACTTAGGCTCCTAACCTCTAGTAAACTCAATGGCATTAGAGACCTAACTACATAAGCATAGTAACTATGACTTCTTTTATAGAGACAGCTTAGGTAGGGGTGCAGGAATAGGATAGCATTCTATAAAATCACTAGCAATGTGGATAAAATGGAAAGACAGAAATTATTTACTGTCATTTCCACTACAAGAAGGGGCATCACATGAAACTAGCAGGAGTCAGGATGAAAATTAAAAAAAAAGAGGAATAGCTGAGATAGATAGACAGTCATGGAGGCTCAGAATTTACATAGGTTGGAAAAGACGCTGGACAAATTCAAGAAAAACTAACGTTTCAAGAAAAACTAATGTATGGGGTTTTCAATATAAAGGAAACACATCTGGCTTGGGGAATCCCTGAATAGTGCATGACTATCATCTTGGGGAGTCACATAACCTGGTCTGTTCCTACATGTTTTGCTGGGATATCAGCTTATACTAGCGCTGGAAAAAGTTTCTACCCCAGTTTGAACAATCTTATTTTCTTATTATGTTTTTATTGTAAATTTAATTGATCTTCAAATCATCATTCCCTCAGTTCTAATTTTCCAAATTGCATAAAGCCAGTTATTTCTTTTTTAATACATATCACATGCATACATGCATGCATATTTTATTATTTCCCTTCAATTTTAACTATTGTAATTGTCATTTTCTTTCAATTTTGCACACCTTTATATAGTCTTTAAGCACCTTTGTCTTTAACAGGGACAATAAC